AGAGCTTTGATTTAAAGACCTGTCTTATTTCAAGAAGCTTTGTTTTTGTTTTTGTTTTTGTTTTGTTATAGCACCCTGTAATTGAAGTCCATGTAATTATATCAGGCCTCCAACCTATAAGCCTAGACCTCTCTTCAACTACTTTCTGATTCTAAAGGTCATTTGCAGGTATTCCTTTAACCCACTAGAGGTCAGTGTTGGGTTGATAAAGACAGGAGCCTTTGGCTTTTGATTCACATAATTTTGACTATGAGTCTTATTGCTAAGTTCCCTTGGAAGTAGTATTTCACAATAAGACTTTATGTAATAGCATAGATAGGATGTCTCGTAGACACTCTTTGACAGTTGTGAAAGTATTAATAGCAACATTTTTAGATTAGTAGTCCAAATTGGATAATTCTTATGGGTTCCCCCCCCTCTTCTAATAGGTAAGAGAACATCTAAACCATGTCTTTTGTAGATACCACTCTCTTTTGTGGGGCCAGATCTCATTCTCACATAGATTTCTTTGTTATCTCTTGCCTTTGTATAGTAAACATTTATCTAAATTTACTATGTATGTGTCACTGTATCTGGGCTTGGGGGATTCTAAGAATGGGTCGAGTCTTTCCTATTCTCAAAGAGAGAAGAGTTACATGCTAAAGTGTTGTACTGTCATTTTTTCTACCTGGATATTCAACAGGGTTACTAAACTTATCTTCTCCATCCTGCTCTCAACTTATTATTTTTATGGTTCCTGTTGTTTGGAATGACCCTACCATCTAGTCATCAAGGCCAGAATTCATGGAGTTATTTCCTTCCTCTCTTCATGAACTACATTCAGATCAGTAAATTTTGGTATTTCTGCCTCGTTTGTATCTGCCACTACTTTAATTCAAGTCCTCATCATTGTTATTTGGACTGTTATAGTGATCTGTATTGGTTTTCCTGTTTCTAGTCTTTATCTTCTCCCAGTTGATCACTCCTCTGCTCCTAGGGGATTTGCCTGAGTGGTAAAGCTGATCCTGTTATTCCCCTGCTTACCCTCTTTCATTGTTTTTCCATTGCCTACTAGCTAACTGTGAAACTACTTTGTATGGCATCTTTAACTGTATCTCGTTAGTTCTTTATAACCTATGCTCTTATACAAAATTACTTTTTCCTTGGGTGGATAATGTTATTTCACACATGGTCCTTTCTCATGCTGTTCCCTTATTCTGGAATGGTTACCCTTTCTACCTCCCTCCCTTTGGGAAAATCATTAGTTTTCTCTTAAGAGCACAGTTTTCCACCTATCCTCTCTGTGAAGCCTTTTGTGCAGATATGATTACTTCTTCCTTTGTCCAATCATTGTCCTCTGTATTTATTTCTATTATTATACTTATTGCACTGGATTTCAGCCACTTGTCTGCCTGTCTGCTTTCCATAATAGTATGATGTGAGGTTCCTGAGGCAGGGAGTCCACCTTATTTCTTTGTATACCCAGTATGCAGCACAATGCCTGGTACGAAGTAGACATTTGATACGTTTGACTGAAAATAGGAATACAGAGGGGCCGGTCTGGTGGCATAGTGGTTAAGTTTGGCACGCTCCGCTTTGGTGGCCGGGGTTCACAGGCTCAGATCCCAGGTGCGGACCTACACCACTCATCAAGCTGTGCTGTGGCGGCAACCCATGTACAAAATAGAGGAAGATTGCCACAGATGTTAGCTCAGGGCCAGTCTTCCTCAAGCAAAAAAAGCAGGATTGGCCACAGATGTTAGCTTGAGGCCAATCTTCCTCACCAAAAAAAAAAAAAAAACAAAGAATGCAAAGTGATATCATCATGAATTAGGGCAGTGAGAGGAGGCTTTCTAAAGGAAGAAGAATTTAGTTGGATTTTGGAGGAAAGGTTGGATTTACGCAAGAAGAGGTCATCCAGTAGAAAAATGGCATAAACAAAGATACAGAAGTGGAAATATACCTAGTATATTATGAGATAGAGTCTGATTCAAGTGGAAGATTCATGTTGGAGAGTATTGGATAAGTACATGGAAAATTAGGTTCAGCTTCCATTATGGTAGAGTCTAAGTAATAGATTATGGAGTTTGGATTTGTACTCGTTTAAATTTTTCCCCTAATTTGCTTCATGCCTAATTGGTGTGATGGATGATGTGGTTTAAGAAGAGCCTGGCCTCAGTATGCAGGGGAATTGTAATGAGAAGGTGATGAGTTCCATTTTAGGTATGTTGGAAGTGGGGTGATGTAGAGCATACAGTAGTAATAGGAAACTGGAGATGGGCTGCTGGATCCTGGGAGAGTGGAAAGAGGTAAGAGAAGAGGCGTTAAAGAGTAAACCTTGCTTAATTTCTCTGTATTGGGAAACCAGAGAAGAATAATATGAAGGAATCTTGAGGAAGAGTTTAAATGTGTAAAAATTATTCACAAAGAGAATGAACAACTAAGAAAAACACCTAAATGCTTGCTAGGTCTAGCTGCTACTCGTATGCTTCGTACCCTCTTGCCCGATCTCCAGCCCAAGTGGCAGATCTCAGGAAGCTGCTGCTTTGGCTCATGATTATAAAGGTTGTCTTTGGAGGGACAGAGTAAATGGCCCTGGTTAGATAGCTTAGCATGTCAGAAAAGAGCTCTGAAGGGCTTTTACCCTTTTTTGTTTTTTTTTAATGGTCTTTAATGTCACATTTTTGTTTTAATACACATTATATGTATTTATATGTATATTTACTCTTCCCCACTTCTTGCCAATCCCATAGCATACATTTTGAATAGATGGTAATTTTCATCTATAATGGGTAATATCTGAATATTTATTTCCTTGTTCTACCTGAGATTGAGTGTTTCCAACTTGGCCAGTTCCTGTTGGCAGGTCTGCCCAGACTGCTCATTTACAGACTGAAGAAGGCTTGGTAATTCTGACAGAGACCCCACGTTCTGATAGAGCTTTGGAATACAACTCGAAATGCTTTGATTTCTAGCAAAGGATTTGTTGTTTTAATTTGCTGATTTGACCCAAACTTTTTGTGCTCTTTCAAATTGATGGGAAAAGCAGATACCATGTAAAAAGAACAAATCATAGAAGATCTAAAATTACTTCCATAGGATACTTTCAGATTTGTATCATTTGAAGTTGAAATGACAGTATTTAAGTGTGGCTCCTTTTGATTGCTTTTGATACACTGGCAGTTTTATTGATTGTGAAAGAAAAATAACTTGGGATTCAATAAAATAAGACCAACTTATGCAAGTTTTTGGTATTGCTATACTGAAAGAGAGGATAGAGTTAAGGGCCAAGTGGTCACTCTCTAGTTGAGGAGTTGCTTTTTTAAATATGAAAGCTTTAGGAAGTTCCCCCTTCCTTTGTGCCTCCCTAGAGTCTTTGATTCCTTTTTGTGTGGTTTGCTTTGGAAGTAACTGGGGAAGAGCTTCCTACTTTTGAGAGGAATACAAAGAATATTCTATCTAATTTAGAGTCTCAAATGCTTGAAGGTTATATAAGTCGTATGTACAAACCTAAATTAAATGTTTTTGGGTGCCTTCTCTATCTCAGTTTGTTACTAAAGACGTGTTTTATGTAAGTCAAACCAAAATATCGATGAGCACTATGCAGAGAAACAAGTTTGTCCATTGATTCCAATCTCTGGAATGTAGATTCTTTTCATTTTCTTGGCAGAAACTAGCTTGCATAGTTCAAGTTTTTCTCTGTCTTATTATAATTGTCTCATTTAACCAGTGCCTGGACTAACATTTTATACTTAATATTTATCTAGAGTTCCTTAATCTCTTTCAGAATCTTTTGGAGATTGATTTTTCTCCTGAACTAATTTCTACTTGTCAGTGAGGAAAAATATCATATATTGATTAAGGAATGTATATTCTGAGAGGCTACATTTCTCAAGTTTTGTTTGTTGGGATGATAGTATTATTTAAAAAAAAAAAGGAAAATTCCATTGTAAAATACTTTTGGAACGTGCTAGATTAAACCAAATTAAAGAAGTTTTCTTAAGATAGGACTTCTCCTAGTTTTTATTGAGTTAATGTGCATTGTATATCTAGAGAGAAGGCTACATGACTTGCAATTTTTCCCGTTTATATGACCACAGAACTCCTTTTTTGGGGAATCATTTTGTCATGCTTTGAGGAATTGTTGGTGTAGTGGAAAGATTACTGATTTGGAATTTAAGAAGATCACACTGTGAGCTTCTGATTTACCACTAACTAGCCTTGTGACCTCAAACAATTCCTTTGTCTTCTAGCCTCGGTTTCCTGAGTGGTGACTAAGGTCACTTCTAGCTCTAGTACTATCTGGTTTAATACTCTGTTGTTGACTCTGCATAGTCACACTTCCCACCTCTTTGTATCTTTTGAAACCACACCATCATTTGAGTCTGTTTTTGTTATGCTGAGAAGGTTATACTTCCTTTTCTGTAACAGTACAGAAGACAAAACCCTTTAAAACTTTGTTTTCCACAGATGGAGGTCTTGAAATCCTGTTGGATTAGGTAGTTCCAATCACTCTATTAAGATATTTCATTCTCTGATTACATTTTATTGGTCTCTTATATTCACATAACTGCTTTCAAGAGTCCCTTAAGCTTAATGGCGCCCAACCCTCCTTCCCCAACCACAATGGTTTCAGTATGGCATTTATCTTGTAAGAGATAAATATTTAGTCATTTGCGTTATTCTCTTGGCTACTTAGGTGAAAATGGGTAGATTTCATTTTTGTGATGATTTACACGGGTGTATTTGAAAAGTCTTCTGATAATTTTGACTGATAATCTTTTTTTCTGTGGAAGCTGGGAAAAGGAATCGAGATGGGTAACTTCAGGATTAAAAATGTATACGTTAATATGTTTGGTTTTATTTCTGGGACTAAAACTTTATGTATTAAGGCATTTTGTTGTAGTATTTTCTTTAAGATACCAATTTGTTCAAAATTAGAAGTTCTTTGAATGCTTATTTGTTTTGTTTCTTTTCTTTCTTTCCTTCTTTTTTTATGTGTTTGTATGTCTCTATCCTAGGCCCAACAACAAAGAAACCTGGATAATATCGTCTTGCAACAACCCAGAGTAGGTAGCAAGAGAAAATCTAAGAAAGATGCATATACAGTTTTTGATACAGAGATAGAAAGCACTAGCCCCAAGTCCGAACAGGATTCAGGAATTCTGGATGTTGAAGATGAGGAAGATGATGAAGAGGTAACTAACATTTGAACTGGGGAAGTGAGACTTGTCAAGTTTAAATGTAATGTGCTTGAGAGGTGATGAAGAATTTATCCATATCACACAGCTTGTGTGATTTTCTGTGTTAAATAACATTTTAAATACAAATGGGCCCCAATTTAAGGAAACTGAAGATGCACTAAGATACCTTAGATTATAATTCTTTAGATTTTAAATACACTCATCCGTTTTTTAAAAGTTTCCGAGTTTTTTGATTGTATACTGACTGGGTACTACATGAAGGGAAGGGTAGAGTTTACCTGACCTAGAGAAAGAGATCTAGGTGACCTCCACTGTAACTGGAGCAAAGTTACTTGAGACAAATAAACGATGTTACTTTAAACAGTGGGGAGTAAACAAAGGGATTTCTTAGCCTTGAGAAATGGTTCTAATTGAAAACACAAAAAAGTTCCGGAAAGTTGAGAATACATTTCTGGAGGAAATGAATGTATGAGTAATTATAGGGAATCTGGGAATTTTGTGACATATCCATAACCTCTTAGATTAGTTCTTTGTCCCTTTCAAGTAAAGAATAAGATAATGACTTAACTAGTACATATTTTTATATCTTTCTTTGTTGTTGGAGGTATATTTAATGTGTTTTTAAAAATAAAACTATTATGACATTTGAGATTTCCTATTAAACTGTTTTTCTAAATGCTTATCCTTTACATGAAATGGATCAGTTTCTCTGTGATTTAGTGGTTAGGAGCGTGAACTTTGGAGTCAGACTGCATTCATATCTGGCTCTGCTGTTTTATTTTATTTTTAAAAATTATCATTAATAATCATATCATTTATTTTTTAAATGTCCACTGACGTGAGAGGAACCATTTACTCCTGTACTCGGTAAATGTTTTGCCTTTAAATGCCTTTTCATTGTTTCATTTCTCCAGGTAAAACTGGGTTCACTGTCTCTTCCCCATTTTTGTCCTCTGTTATACCCTTACCACCCTTCTTATTCCCCTCTCCCCCCAAAGCTATACCCCAAAACTTGTCACTCTCTAACTTTGTAATATTAGGTAATTGTTTAATCTGTTAGAACTTTAGTGTCTTCATCTATCAGGTAAAGACAGTAGTCTCTATCCCCGTAGGATTGCACAAGTGCCTGTACCGTAAAAGGTGGTTTGCAAATATTAGTTTCTGTCCTATTTTCATTATTCTTCCTTGCTAAGCTCCTCTGTGTGTATCACTTTCTGTCCTTGTTATTATTCTTCTTTCACTTCAAAAATCGAATTGGCACTGTTTAAACTGGGCTGAAAAACCATTAACCAAGTTAGTTATGTGTCTAATACATTAGCATTTAAGTTCAATTGAATGTCTGAGAGACTATCACATGTGTAAAGTGCTACATTCTTTTATATAGTTTTCATTATTGAGGGGATACATTGCTACAATATAAGTGAATGATTACATTTATAATTTATAAGGATATGTTTATTAATGTAATTAGTAGTTAACAATGTGTGAAAGTTTCATCATAATCCCCATCGTACTTGGATAACAAGAACTTTTAATAACTCTAAGAAATAGAGCTAAGAAAAGAACCAGGTATTTGCCTGATACCCATGGAAACAGACAGGGGCAGAGAAGACTTGATTCCCCTGAATATTTTCTAGCATTCTATCTTGCCTTGAATGACTGGTATGGTAAGATATGGATCCACCCTGGAGACTAGACTGTTAGGTATTAGGCCCATCACTGATGACAAATTATTGTAGTAGTACAAGAAAGCAGCAGTCTCAAGAAAGACCAGTTAATGTCTTTTATGTACATTTTGGGTGCCCATCAAGGAAATTAAATTCTATTAGACACTATGGCTTAAGGAAACAGAAGTTAGACATAGTCTGTGCCCCTGGATAGCATACACCCCGAAGAGACGATTAGATGATAAGATGACAGAATGAAATATATACATAGTTCTCATATATCACAGAGAACCTTCTAGATAGGAGCCATTCTTTACCATTAACTCACTGAAGATCCTGGGCACATCCCTTTTAATTTTTGTGCCATATTTCTTCTTTGTGTTATCTTTTGAAGTCCAGAGAAGATGGAGAAAGTGGGACTAGTAAAGTGTGTTGGGAGTTCCTCATAAAGGAAGTATTATAAGAATATATTTGGAAGTTAACATTTTAAAATGGTCCCATATCTCAAATCAAGCAGAATTCATATTAGCGATTTGCTGATTGAGCTCTTACAACAAGAATTCAGCACTTCACTGTCATCTAATGGCATCCTATCTTAAAAAAAATCCTACCTTATATTTATTTACTTCTCAGTGTGAATCTTCTTCAAGTGCACATTCTTAATCTCAAACCTCATGTAGAGAATTATTTATTTAGATGTCTCCAAACTGGTTTCTTGGCATAGTTCTTGCATGGTGTGAATAAATTCTTCAGATAAGGTCTTTCGTGACCCACTGTGACGTTCTGACCTTCATTCTTGTCATTCTTCAACAGACCTCATCGAGAGCAGCGTAAATAGTTTTTGAAATATTTTGACTTTTAAACTGTGGCATAGAATCCTGTAGGGCAGTGGTTCTTAATCTATTTGGGGTCTATATTACTTTGAGAGTTTGATAAAAATATATGGAGTCTTTTCCCCGTAAAATGTACATATGTGCACTCATAAAAAGTTCTGCATGAAATTTCAAGGGAATCTTGAAACGCATGTTTCCCCTAGGACCCAAGTTAAGAACCCATGTTGTAGGGCAGGGCTTCTTGAACTTTAAAGTGCATAGGAATCACCTTGTAAGCATATTAATATGCACATTCTTATTCTGTAGGTTGGGGGTGAGTCTGAGAATCTGCATTTATAACAAGCTCCCAGGTGAGGATGGTGCTTCTGCTCTTGGAGCACACGTTGAGTTGGAAGGGTAAAGAGGACTGCGAGGAAGCATTTTTAGTGCATAAAGAAAATAAACCCATGAATGTTTGGGTCTCCTATTGATTTCCATTCATATGTCTTAAAATTTTTCCAACAATGAGTGTAGTACTTGAAGAGAAAGTTATATTTTGCTTTCTAAAATCTGTTGCTTATAATAGATTATACCAGCATTATTGTTTATGAAATTTTATGATTCTGATTTAACATACTTAAGTTTAGTTTTTTTTTTATTCTCTGAACTAAGAAAGAACTTTTCCCCTTTCCTGTACTTTTAATGGAAGTATACTTAATACGCTCTTTGAGTCAAATGACATTTGTAGGCTATTTGCTATGTCTTTAGCTTGATGATACTTAATAGGAGACCTTAGAATGAGATGGGTAGGAAACCCAAACAGCTAGAACATAGCTTTGCACATGGTGAGCAGATAGTTAATATATTGTTAAACTGAAATAAAGTTTGTGTCAGAGATGGGAAAACTTAATAGCTTGGGGAACCAAAGATGAAGTCATAGTAGTAACTTGTCATCTTGGGTGAAAAACCAACTCACGTGTTGAACCAACTGGCAGAGTCAATCTCTTGATTGCTGAGAAGTGTTGCAGGAAAAGTATTCCCCTTAAAATTCTCTATTTGTGTTTTATTTTTGTCTGAGCTAATGAAAGTGTCACCTTAATTAAGGTCAAGTTTTTTTATGTGTTATATATTCAAGTTGAACTGTATAAACTGCTGTGATTTGACCATTTTTGATTTACAACTTAATTTCAGTTGATATTTAATGGAAATATGTATGATTTCAGGAATTTAGTTTGAATCTCTAATATTATCCTGTGCTATATGCAGATGTTATTACTCTTCTCTAAATATCTAGATAGGAGTTAAAATTTTTTTTAGAAGTAGTAAACATTTTAGATTGAGAATGTATTTATGGATCTAGATTCATCAGGAATATAATGTTTGAGATATTTGAAGATAAAATACAAAGAACCCCTTAAGGTGATATATCATTTGTGAGACGTGGGGCAATTATACCTCCTGAGGGTAGGGTTGTTGTGAGAATAGACTGAATGGACTGAAATAACGCATATAATGCTCTTGTCACAATGTTTGGCACACACAATGCTATCAGTATATAATAGTTACTATTATGGCATTATGACTGTGTGCTTTTTTTTGGAATAAAGATGAAATGTAAGTTGATAATAGTTTTTCATAATGTATATTTGCATGGACTGATATAGACCATCTACTGTAAATAGAAAATCTGCTGGTATAATGCAGTATTGAGTATGAACTAGTTTGAAAAAGCAGGGCCTATGATTTTTTCTATGTTTCTAGGTTAGTTCAGAGCTCTGCATTCTTAGAACACTTCATTGGTAACACACTTATGGCACATCTCATGTTCTGGTCTGTATCTCTCTTAATTTGTTTACACGCTATTAGAGAGCAGTGGTCACCATGTTTTCCAGACAACTCTTCATAGAGAATGGGTCAAATAAATAAATGTTTGTGATCAAGTGATCCATGTCAGGTTTAGCTCTTAAGATTTTGGTGCCTCTTTTGAAATATGGAATTAACAGGATAGAATTGCTAATTTAAATGCAAGTGTCGTGTAATATAAAGCCTTCTAAAATGTCTTGATTATTGTGGTGTGGTACTAATTTTGAGGTAACAGGATGTATTTGTTTGCTGGGGTTGCCATAACAAAATACCACAGATTGCATGCTTAAACAACAGAAATTTATTTTCTCACGTTTCTGGAGGCTGGAAGTCTCAAGATCAAGGTGCCAGCAGGGTTGGTTTCTACTTAGGCCTTTCCCCTTGGCTTGCAAATGGTCACCTTCTTGCTGTGTCCTCACATAGCCTTTTCTCTGTGTATGTATGGCCCTGGTGTGTCTTTCTCTTCTTATAAGGACACCAGTCCTGTTGTATTACGGCTCCACACTTATGACTTCATTTAACCTTAATTACCTCCTTAAAGGCCCCATCTCCAAATATAGTCACATTGAGTGTTAGGGCTTCAACATGAATTCTGAGGGAGACACTATTCAGTCCATAACACAAGTCGATTGGAAAGAACAGAAGATTTGTG